CTGGTGGAGAGGAAAACACGGCTTTCAGGTACAAAACGCCCCTTTTGGAATGATTCGCATTAGCCTTGCAATGGACTGTTTTTCCGGTTGAGGCAAATTTGTCTTTTTGTTATTTGCAACGATAATCAAAAGAGACAATCGACTGGAAATATTAAAAAAAACGACCAACCTGAGGAAAACGAACACACTTTTTCTTCAGGCCGCTTAACAATTGGACAGGTCTGACGTGTTTCGTATTTGAATTAAAGAATAATATTCATCCGACTAGTGTGTTTTCAAAAGAGAGAATAAGAAAGGTTGCGCGGTAACATGACACGACATTTAACACCTCTACGATCGTGTTTGTCTCACAGGTTCTGACTTCCATCCCCACAGTTAATAAAGTGAGTGGTTTTGAAGTGAAATATTCTCCAGATCCTTGCTGGCTAGGCCAAAAAGATGCCAGCCACAGTGGCATTTAGACTTTTTCTGCCCTGAAGCATTTCCTTACCCTTGCGATCGCCGACCTATTTCACTCGATACATCCCCCTTGCCCGCAGTGATGGCCTGACGGCTACACTCTCCTTGAAAACCTGCACGTCTATTCACGGGTCTGATCGCTTCTCAGGTTGGTTTCTTCCCGAGCGACTGCGTCGAGCTGATCAACGACAAGCTCCCTCCCAGTGTTCAAAGCTCGGTTCCCAAACCAGGTACGCTGCCCACTGTTTCTCGACCGCATAAATTCTGTATAACCTTCTCCTTGGATGTGGGATAGATTGTATTCAAGAGGGGTTTTTACCTGTCGTGATCGTCAGTGTGTAAGAAGCACGGCAAGCTGGTGACCTTCCTGAGGACTTTCATGAAGTCGCGGCCGCCGCCGCAGAAGCTTCGCCAGCGCGGCATCCTCAGGGAGCGAGTGTTTGGCTGCGACCTGGGCGAACACCTCCACAGCTCGGAACACGAAGGTGAAATGCGCAAAGGGGAAATTATGCCAAATCTGAATCGGTGGTTATATAATGTGAAACACAAACTCAACGCATGGAATGTACATTGGTGTGATAGAGCTTTGGCATGCGAGAATTAAAAATGGAATGGAAAAATTAACATGAAAAGTAAAGGAAGTCACACTATTGGAAATACAGTCAGTTTTCGACCATAATCCGTTCCAGAAGGCTGTTCGCAAAGCGATTTGTTCGAAATCCGAAACTATTTTATTAGCCCATTATTAAGGTCGAACACACTATGCAGAAATAACAAAAAAAAAAAACAGTCAGATTTGCGTAAATCACAACAAACCCGTCTGCCCACAATGAACGCTACATGAGAAAGTGACGCTTCCTTGTAAGGAAGCCGAGAGGAGTCAAGTGGCGCATTCGGGTTTGCTCAGTTTGGTCGAAAAACAGTTTTCGGTCATAATCCGAGGTATAAAAATCTCGACTTTTCTGGTCGAAAACCGATTTGGTCGAGAACAGAGACGTTCAAAAACCGAAGTTTGACTGTACTTGCTTGCCACTATAAATTCCAACAATGAAATGTCGGTCAATAAACGAGAGCAGAAGCATTTTCCCGCACGCGTTGGTCAGATCAATTCGATGTCTGTTTTTAATCCTCCCAATGGATTTATTCATAGTGAGGATGAGAAAAAAAAAACCCCAAACACTTAATATCAGCAGCCACGCTCATCCGTTTACCAGGATTGCAGTTCGACGAAACGTTATGGCTCATGCTGCGTTGTTGCATAAACAGGTGGCGTGCTGCTCGGCTGAAACAAAACAAATTGTACCTGCATGGCGTTGAAGCTGGGTTCAGATACCTCGTCTTTGGTGTCTGCCTTCAGTCCCTCAGGTTGTAAAGAGCTGTGCCGAGTTCATCGAGAAGCACGGCGTGGTGGACGGAATCTACAGGCTGTCTGGAATCTCCTCCAACATCCAGAAACTCAGGTTTGGTTTGCTACTTGATGATACATTTCTATCATCAAGAATCCCTTTTTACCAATGCTTGAAAATGCTGAAGGATTCCGCTCAACGACATTGCATTCTTCCTTCCTTTCTGCATTTTTTTTTCATCTAAAATGACAAATTTTTGATGTTACATTATCCTGAGTACTCCCGCTGTTATTTTTTTTCCTATCTACAGTTATGTATGCTGTGTACATTATCTTTTAAATAACACTCAAACATGAATTGTGC